CACACACACACACACTCACACTCACACACACACACACACACACACACACACACACACACACACACACCTGCATACACACTCATACACACCCTTTCAGACACACGCACATGAAAAATCATGATAAACTTACAAAATAATGTTCTTTCACACCTAATAATGACTAACTAGCTCATATTGATAATGAAATAAATGAATTTATATCTTTATGTGCATTCATATTCCAGGGTCTGAAACAAGAGATCAACAGGAAAGAGCCAGAGCTGAAGTCTGTGATCAGCCAGGCAGAGCAGTTGGTACAGAACAACGTCAAGAGCCAGGAGCAAGGTCAGGTCAAAGACGAGACGTCTCAGCAGTTCCAGAAGCTCAAGTTCAGTGCCACGGACCTCAAAGTCCGCTTTGACATGGTAAGCTTCCTTTTTTTTTTCCATCCTCCATCCCTTTATGACCGCAATTTCTTTCTGAGTGAAGAGAATTACTTTTTTTCTTTTTGCTAACTCCACTTTCGTTATTAATCATAATTAAGGTTAAAGACATCAAGAATTAAATTGAGCTGAAAATTTTCCTCTGACTTGTGATATTGGAATATGTACAACTGGCAGTATGTCTGCACTATCCTTATTGGATGGGGAAAGAGAAGTTTGGTTATTTTTAGCAAAGAGTGATGAGTATTTGATATTAAGGCCTTTTTTAAATGCTGGTGGAGATCTTCTGGTTTATGAAATAAACACCATCCAGCGCCTCTCTGCTTACACTCTATAGTTGTTTGTGGAATTACATGGAAATAGTTCCATTGATCCTCTCCCTTTCCTTCTCTCTCTCCTTTTTCCTCTCCTTTTCCCTCACCTTCTCTTTCTCCTTCTCTTTCTCCTTCTCCCTCTTGATTTATGGTCTTATTCTGTATGGTATTATTCTGGTCATAGGTCAACTCAGAGTCCGACACACGTGTGAGCAAGTTGAGCAGAATGGGAGACAACTTGGAGGAGATTTACTACCACCTGGAGGAGCTAGACCAGTGGCTGGACGCTGCCATAGAGAAGACTCAAGACATGCAAGCTGACCGAGTGGACATTGAGTCTCAGTATGAGGCCTTCAAGGTACAGTATATCAGTTTGAAAAAGCTTTATTAAAAAATTTTAAAAAGAAAACTGTCCGTCAGTGGTTTCAAGTGGAAGTTGTTGACAGAAATTAAATTGGAGAGAATATTTTAAGTTATTTTTCTTATTTTTGTTGTTTTGTATAACATTGTTTGCTTTCTTTTGTTTGGACACAATTTTATATCATCTAAAGAAAGGGATGTGCTTCAGACTGTTTGTGATTTCTTACATGTAGTAACCTCAGAAAAAAGGTCAAATATTAAGTACATAATCAGACATGGGATCAGTCGCCGTCGTACATTTTCAGTCGTGTTATGTAATGTTCATCAGGTTTCAGTTTGTGTAGCTAAATAATATCAGTAAATAAATTCCAACTGAGAATTTATTTTTGTGCCTACAAAGCTATTTAGATCGAATTTTTAAAAATTGAAGTAATGTACCTAGAAAGACGATTAGTATAAATATTGTAAGTTCCTTCCTTAAAGAAAGTATTAATGATAAAAGTTTTTAACATTATAAGAAATGTATGGTTTCTCACAGAGCTTTCCCTGATTATTATGCAATGGTAGCACTTTTATCAGTGACTTTGATGTTCTTTGTATCTACGGTATTTTTATTTTCTCAAAACTTTTTCTTTCATCTGTGGTTATTCCGATGATGTTCATAATAGAGTATGTGAGCTTATGTAATTCTTTCTGCTTTCACCTTATTCAAGCTGAACAAATAGGCTCTATGGTAGTAACAGTGTCAGCTCAGTCATCTTTTTATCTCCAAGTTTGATTTTGTGGTGGTTTTACCTGACATATTGCATTGTTTCCTTCGCCTTTAGGAGTTCTTGGAAGATGTCAAGGATAAAGAGGAAGACATGACTGCCATTACAAAATCTGCTGACGCTTTCAAAGATGATGCTCAGGTCTGTAGATTGTGTTTTTGGAAATTTTGTTTCATGAAATGATGAGCAGAAGATTAAAAAAAAAAAAAGATTGTCAAAGATCAAAAAAGATTTTGAAGCATTTGTAACGTTGCTGTAGTCACTTTTTGCTGGTTCGAGCGATTCTTTAAAAACCAGTGTATTATCTCAGTCAGCTTTTTGACAAACAAAAATGAAAAGTATCAACTGTTGTTGGAGGTTTCTCCAAGGCAAAACAAGCACCATTTTGGCTTTTATTGATTTGTTTTTAAATGTAGGTGTTTTTAAACCACCACCAACACAATTTAGATCATTTAAGAAGCAGGCTTCCGATCCAACCCAGGCTCAGAGGTATACAACTTCTTATCAGAAAGGCCTCTGATACTCTATAGAAATTTCTCCTCACTCAGGAATCAAACTCAGGTCTCCTGCTTGCGATTTCAAAGCACACAGTCTCCAGTACCATTTTATAATGAGCCGTTTTCTGTTTGCTCTTTGATTTACATCATACTTGTTCTTTTAGAAACTAAAAATTTGATATAACTAGCTGAGAGTAAAAAAACATGAAGCACTTTTCTGTTATTCAGTTTTTCTTCTGAAATACCGTTCTCATTTAAAGTGGTAGGAAGGCTTGCTGGCATTCTCAGTTTGCCTTTCTTTTGTTTCCAAGATTTGTGTGTGTGTGTGTGTGTGTGTGTGTGTGTGACCGCACGCGCGTATGTGCATATACATGAGTGTACATGCGAGAGAGAGAGAGAGGGAGAGAGAGAGAGAGAGAGAGAGAGAGAGAGCAATTGTATCTGTTCACATACTTTTTTGTTTTAACGTCTCCTTGACTGTTCATTGCTGGCTACCTCTTTAATGCTCTGGCCATGGATTTATGTAATATTTTTTGTATCAGGGGTCATCATTAGTGCGTGTGTACGTATGTGTGTGTGTGATTGGGGGGGGGGGGCATAAGTGCTGTGCGTAGCGTCAATGCGTGATTTTTGCGTCCCACCCGTAGACGCTAGGCCACGGAACGGATTCTTAATAGGCCCTACATCCACACATACGTTTAGTCGTTCCTTCTTTCTGTCTTTCTTTCCTTGTGTCTGTATGATTTTTCCCACATGCCTGTCGTTTTTCCTGGTCTGTCTGTATTTCCTTCTGTCTTTCTTTGCCTGTCTGTATGTTTTTCCTTTTGTCTGTCTTTTCTAATATCCACAAAAGTGCCTTCAGTTCTGTATCTTCTACTCCTAGTGTCCCTTGTCCCCGGGAAGGCAGGCCAGATTGAGCCGCCGTGAACGCCCTCTGGGCTCTTTCTCAATTCCACTTATAGAGACCCAGTGTCAATATTTAGCCTAATAGCTCCCAGCCGTCAAAGCCATCGCCCGCCGGGCGCGTTGACACAAAGTCCTGCGTGTTTAACCAGCCAGAGAAACGGTTAATGGTCAGTTTCGCGCCCAGGTTTAAGCTGACAGATCGGTCACGGGGAATTCCCACACCGAGGTCAAGTCAGTGGGGGGAAGTTATTGGGAGAAGTCGTGGTTAAAAGACTACCAGTGAGAGGGGGGAAGGAGGTATGGAAGATAGCGAGAGAGAGAAGGGGAAGGGAGGGAGAGAGAAAAAAGAGAGAAAGGGAGGGAGGGAGGGAGGGAGGGAGAGAGAGAGAGAGAGCGAG